GGGTGGGAGGTGAGTCAGTCTCTCAAGGGACCACATAGCACCATATCAAGTCTTCGGAATTTCTCTGCCCCAAGCAGCTTGTATGTCTGGCTTATCTCCTCTAAAATAATCAGTGCACTGTTTGTCAGTCAGCCTTATTTAATAACTAACATGCCACAGGTGGTTTAGCAGCTTGAGCACCGAGGCTGAAATAATTACATTCTCTGGACTGAACAGAAAGGGAGATGTTGGAAACTTTGGGATGCTTGAGTGATGTGGGAAAGTCGGTTTGATCCAGCCCAATTCCTTGAGATGCTTTTCATTCCCCAGCAGGGAATGGAAGATTTGGCCAGCACCTGTGAAAAAGAGGAAACTTTAGGGCTCAGAGAGATGAGGACTGGATAAGCCTAGCTGCATCACAGCTCCTTTTTTAGCTGCTTGTCCTCTCTGTAGGATCATTCGTTTCTACAGGATGCCTGCTCTGAAGCATGTGGTGATTGGGAAGAGATCGTATCAGTAGCTCTACTCTTACAAGGGTAGTGAGCAGAAAATATGAAAGACACCCCCTAAAGAAAATCATGAATTAAATAATGATTTCTCAAAAAGCATTAAGTTTGCATACAGAAATCAGAGCAGGGAAACTCACCGCTACACTTCTATGGCCAAACCCACAGGTGAAGATTAACTGAAAGCCTTCAGGGACAACAAACAGAACAATGTTACTGTGGGGACAAGAGCCTGTTTTGCCATTTGTTTTCTGCATGTCAGAGGGGTGTGTGAGTGCTGCTGTGGATACAAGAAGAAACAACCTTGTATTTGTTCCTTACATTCACCTCAACAACATTTTGAAGCAGTTTCTAGCACTCATTTTTTGTCTTGGACTGCTGCACTTCTCCCATCATGGATATCCCCTGCTGCAGATATTTCTGTAAGTAATGTGCTTCGATTCTATTCTGTTCTTTCCACATCTCCTGGCAGAGGAGTGCTTAAGCATATGGATGCCATGAGAAGAATATTTATGGGAATGGGCTGCTTTGAGGCAATAATCCAAAATACCCATGAAGTGCTTCAGATTGAGATTTGCGCAAATCTGAACTGCAAACTTGTTTCTGTGGTGTGTATTCATTCAGATGAAAGACTTTGAAGTCTGTATTGTAACCTAGGTGTCCTGTCACGCCTGCTCATATTGCAGATCGCTAGTGCTGCCAAACTACCTGAAATTCTTTGCAGAAATTGCTTAACATATAGTTTTGAAAAACAAAGGAGAAAGTGGAAAAATAACAGCAACAACAAAAGACAGAAAATGAAGAAACTACTCTTATTTATTGTGAATTAGTCATCCCTCTCCAGATATGAGAGAATAACTGGGAGGAGGCTGGAGTCTCTTTCTGCTCTATTTTCAGCCAGTGCTGAAAGAAAAAGTGCCAGAAATCTCTGCAAAGTCTGTTCTGAGGAGATTTCCCACCAGTTTCATGAATCAAATATGTCTGGATTAACTGTGAATAAGCCCTTGGGCAGAACTAGTGTATCACGGGTTCATTGATCACAAAAACTTCTGTGCATGATGTCTGACCCAACATTCAATAAAGGTGATGAGAAACCTATGGGGCAGCTTATCCTATAGCTGCGGAGCCTATTAGCAGTTCTCTCTACAGCAGCTGGAGTCAGCTCTTCCCAGACAATGGCAGCAGGATTGCAGTGAATCTTGCTTGTGTTCGTGGGCCCAAGTTACAGGGCTTTGAATCAGGCCTGGGGGCACTGTACATTGCTGATTTAAAAACAAAACAAAAACTGGTATAGCAAATGTTGTGTTGAGGGACATGGTTTAGTGAGAAGTATTGGTGATCAGTGGATGGTTGGTTTGGGTGATCCTGTGATTCTTCCAGTGTTGGTGGTTCTATGATTCTATAAATGAGACTTGGTAAAAATCAGGCTAATCTCTTCCTCCAGCTGCTCACATGCCTTCTTTCCCAGCAGCAGTTAACAAAGATGAATGTCTGCTTCTTCCAGGGTTGTTTGACTGTGGGGACAGTTTCAGGGCTGTCCCTAGATGCTGCCTACACAGTGATGTTTTCAAAGTTATGCCCCTCTGTCTGTTGATTCTTCTCTGAAGAGTTTCTAGTAGTGCTTATTGTGAACTCAGAAGTGTCTGTAATCAACTCTGCAATGATATTAAATGACAGAATAGTTTTTAAAGGCTTCCCCTCCTGAAGTGTGCTGTGCATTTCAGAGGTGACAGGCAATGTGCAAGGACCCAAAGCAGAGACATTTGAGAGAGCTTTTAGTCCTTGAGCCTTAGCCCAGTCATACATTGACTTTGGTTTAGGATCTGAGGGCCTCTGATTTAACCACTCCTTTCTCACTTGGCAACCAAGCCAAGAGCAGACTGTGTTTCCTTTCCAATCCAGAGGAACTTGGAGGCTGTAAGAAAAACACAACAAAACTCAACAATTTTTATCAGAAATTATGCCTCAAAATGAGCTCTGTAATGTTAGAATGACTCATCTTATGGGATTTCTGTTGAGGACAATGGTAGAAGTCCTGTGAGGCTGTTGCTGCCTTGCTTTCAAATGCCCCTCTTTGCATGGGATCCTCCTGTGCATTGCAGTCCCAGCCAAAGCTAAGCAGAAACTTGTTGCAGCCGCTGCTCCAAGGCATGGATAAAACTTGCCACATCTCTTTGAATTTTAGAGACATAAAAAAAAAAGAAGTGAAATATCTTTAAGTGCAACAGAAAGAACTGTGGAAGCAACTCAGTATGAGGTAGATAAGGAAGAGTGTGAGTGAAGTGTGAGTGCATGCTTATGATCACAACCACACCACTTCTGATTTGTGTCAGAAAGGGGAAGGTGTTTACAGATTTCCCACTGTAGTACAGCCTCACAACCTCGTAGTCCTTCTGAGGAAGGAAAGAGTTAATGCATTCTCCAGCATTTTTATCGTTCCTGTAGAATAATCACCGTTCTAAAGATGCCTGCCTTGAAATTACAACGTAATCCTCTGCCTGACTTAACTCTAAAAATCTGGTGGCTGGTAGATAAAAATCATTGAGAACGATCATTTCATTTGAGGCATCAATAACTTCGGCAGAGCTGTTAGGTCAACAGCTCAGCTGCTCTGAAAATGGTGAACAAAAATTTCTGGTGTCAAGTAGTTCAGTGCTTGGCCTGTAACCTCCACCAGCACTGCTGGCTGGGGAACCATGATTTCTGGAAGTGGAAATCCTCTATTGAGGGGATGCTGGGGAGACCAAAGCTGCTTGTGAGGTTGTGTAGAATGACAGTTTGTGCGTTGAGGAGTAAAAGCACTGGATAAGCATTTGCAAGTTCTAGTCTCAGGTCTTGTCTCTGTGGTTTGTTTGCTGCATGACCTTGTAGTGGTTGTGTTTCCTTGTCCTTACCTCAACTTAATCCCTGAATCAGTTTGGTGATTGCTGAGGGATAGCAGAGCTCAGACCTTCCATCTGCTCCCTCAGGCGGACTGCACAGCCCCGCACCTAGCAGGGTTTCTGCATGAAACAACCAAGAGCCAAGAAAGCAGGACACTATGACCTGTCTCTGTGTGAGCTGTCACTGTGCAACAGGGCAGCTCTAGCACCAAACTGTGCTCATGGAGCTAGAGGCCATGCTGGCTGATGGGAATTGCAGGGGACACCCTCAAGGTATGAGTTTTTCTTTACAGCTTTTCTTTTAGAGGCACATGATCGTAGCTACCCTTATCTTGTTGGCTAAGACACTTAGGCTGACAGCCTTCAGGTTGGAGGCTGATGGAGGAAGACAGCTTAGAGTGAGTCTCTCTTTGAAGGAATCTGTGCTGATTAGGGTCAGCTGCTGTTACCTTAGGGGCAGTTAATTGAGTGGGTATCAATAGACAGCAGGCCGTTTATTTCCATAATTTTCCTTTCCTGTCTACTATTGAATAAAACAACTGAGAGGGAAGTTGTATTAACTTTACTTTTATCTTTAATTATCTAATTGCAGTAAAAGGCAGTGTTTGAGAAGTTGCTGAATACAGGATAGAATTGGTTCTGTAATAATAATAATAACTTGTTTTCCATCTTTGAAAATAAATCTAGTCTTTAGTTGAAAGCTTTAACTGTTGCTGGCAGTCATTCAGCTAGCATAATTTGGGCTCTGAGTACTTGATTAGAATAACTTTTAGGAAAATTGCCTTCCTGAATCTAGTAAGGATCCATTAACCTGATGAAACAGGGTTTGCTTATCTGTGAGGTTAAGACTCAAAACACAGCCTGGGCTGCATTAGATGAGACCTCTCTTAGAATGGCATAAAGACAGAAAGTAATAAAAGCACCATCTGTCATGTCTAGTCAATCAGATCTAGTATAAGAGCAGAATTATTCCTCTGGCTTCACCGTTATTAGATCATCTGTTTGTTAACAATGGGAAGCGTCAGTAATGCTGAAAATTGCTTTTATTGCCTCAAATTACTTCTAGATGTCTTTATCTTGGAGAGAATGAATATGAATCTGAGTTTATGCGACAAAGAAATATGCCAAGGCATTCTGTGTTGAATCTATTTTGTGATTGATTGTTGGAGGTAAAACTGCATGAGAGATGGAGAAAAAGTGCTGTGTACACTTTGCTTCTGAGAACGATTGTTTTTATAAACAAAGCTCCTCTTGTGGGTTGCTGAGCACTCTGAGGTTCTTTGAAGTCAACTGACTACAAACCTCCGCAGTGGCCCTCTGCATCTCATAGGACTGGCACTGCCAGATCTTCTCTTGTATCCTAGATGTAGCCAAAGGCCACGTAAAAGGTGACTGCTTTTTTCATCACGGCTTTATTAAAGCTAACAAATGTTGGCACTAATGGATTTCTCTGTCACTGAATACCAGTGTGGTCCCTTCTGTTTAGTGAAGACTGTGCAGAAGCTCTTGGATAGACCTAAAGCTGAATACTGAACAGCACAGGTGTGAGAGGTGGTGGAAACCCATATTGTCAGTTGGGGCTGCCAGGTGTGGGCATTTTGCTCCACTCTAACGCAGGTGTGAATGGCTGCTGGTGAGTAATAAATGTAAAGAAGGACCAATCAGTATCTAACAAGTACACCACAGGAAGATAAAGGAAATCTGTGGAGGGCTTGTATCCTTACAGTGCATGAGGAACTGCTGAGAAACAGGTTAGTAAAGCAAAGGGGCTTGAAGATGACCGTAGTAGCCTGACGAGTGAAAGTGTCCTTAAATAGGTTCATCAGACCTCCTGCTGCTGGAGCAGGACTTGTGCTGAGCCTGCAGTTGCATAACTCTAATGGCTTGCAGCATCTAGGCTGTGGGTGCAGGAGAAATACCTTGTGCCACTGCCCGCTGATGGGATGTGCTTCTGGCTGCTTCCCTGCGGCTCTGCTCTGTAGTTGCCCATGAGAAAAGTGTGCCTTTGTTCAGGGGTGCTGTTTGTGTAAGAAAGGGGAACTTATGAACTCCTCCTTTTATGTGAGTATAACCTTTCTCCTCTGCAATCTGAGGGGATTTGCCCTAAATGCCAGTGGAGAGCAGTCCTCCCTGGGCACAGCATAGCCAGGACAAAATAAATTGTGCTACAGACTGTCATTTCAGACTGTATGTTTAGACCGATTTTTTATTTATTATTATTATTTTTTTTTTTAAAGGAGGAAAAGTCTCTAATTTTATGCCTGTCCCCCTTGGGATTTTGATACAGGGAAAACCCACGCAGCTACTCTTCCTGCTGGAGCTGCTGGCTCTCCCCATGTGACAAAGCAATCCCTGCACGGGGAGGCAGAAAAGAATGGATGTCACCACAAGCTCACTGTGAAAGTGTAGGGAACCAGAGTTAATAGATCTTGGATGAGCCCCTGATCTGCCTGGCCCTGGGTGTAGCAAAAGTGGGAGCAGGTCCAGGAGGATCTGATTAAAATCTCGCAGCAATGACAGTCCCAGGAATGCAGAAGGTTGTAACGTGTCTATCTGTGCTCGCATCTGGGAGTGGCCACTGATGCAGAGCTGGGATCTCTCTGGATTAGATCGGGATTTCTATCAGGACAGAGATATTTTAGGGATTTACATGTTCCCTGACCTGGCAGCTTGCCCTAATGAAACACTGATTATGCAACAGCAATCTAACTTAAGCTCTAGCAAAAAAAAAATCTGCTGTGCTGAGAAATGGTGAGAGTAACCTCTCTGTGATGGCAAAGATTTGAAATTGTGCAGTGTATTATGTGTCCTGACACAAAGAAGCTTGCAAGGAATGGAAATAATCAGGCTGTTTATTGTTGGTGCGTGAAAAACAAAACTGGAAAAACTATAATTAGAGCCTGCCCTGAGATTCTCCTGGTTGTATGGCCAGATTAATGATTGAAAGTGTTCCCTCTATACGTATGGGAGATTAGTTCTGCTTGTTTCTCATTTTATGGCCAGTGGAGCTAAGGCTAGCTCAAGGTGACTGATGCGTAGCAGAATCAGAACTGAATCTCAGCGTCCTGCTGCCACATCCAGGAGCTGTGAACCCTCCTTTGCTGTCCAGCAGACCCCAGAGTTGAGCATCTCTGAGAACTGGCTGCAAGGGATAGAGGAGTTGCAGAATTCCTGCATTTCTTGCTGCTGGCTGCCTCTTGCTGAAGGAGAAAGAGAGTGAAAGCAGCTGTTTGCACAGAATGGGATAGAAGATGGTATGAGACCACCAGGTCAGTGTGAAAAGGGCTGTTCCCAAGGCAGTATCTGTCCCAGAGGCTGGAACAGACTACAGATGGCTGAGGTGCTTTGTGCAATTGTTTTTCAGTCTTTGCTGTGATAATACTAAAGGCAGAGCAGCTTGATGGATAGGCTGCTGATCTGGCACACGTGAATTTTCAGCAGAGTCTGCCTTCATCAGGACATTTTTTTTCCCTCCTTTGCTGATCTCTGAAGAGGAAATAGTGACATCTGCTCAGTGAAATGCCCTGAGACCTACAGCAGTAAGAACCTGCTACCACTACCACCAGGGAGAAAATGTTCACCAAACAGACACCAAGTGCTTTTCCAAAGTTTTTCCATGCCACATCCATCTTTCTTCCAGCTGCAGTGACCTCCCAGCTTCTCACTTCATGAAGGGGATGGATGATCCAGCCTCAGGCAAGTGGACTGGGTAAACCTATGGATTCTTCTAGTGCTAGGTTTTAATCATAGAGCTGGAGTTATGCCAGAGCTAGTCAGCTGTGGTGGTGGGTATGTGAGAGCCTAGCATTAGGGGCATTAAGAAAGCCATTCAGAATTCAGTATTCTCACAAGTCAAACAGCACTGAGTAGGATGTTACAAGGTGAGCTCATGTTCCCTTTAATGCCTATCTTGGTGCTCCTTTTCTTGATTTCTTTCTTCCCAGACATTACATACCTATGTGAACAATAAAACTAGGTATTGTTTTAATAAGGGACTGCCTCTAAGACACGAGCTGCATTCTTAAAATGCTTTAAATAGCTAAAGAGGGAGATGAAGGCCAAGCAGGAAGGACAGAGAATACAAATGTCCCAGGGATTGGATGTGTGCCCATGGGTCCACACTGGCTGGAGCACCTCAGTGTCCATTTCCTCTGTTTTGAACCTCCAGAAATCAATGCTGCTGGTCAGCTGGGAGTCAGGGCACGGTGCCTTACCTCGCAGTGTCAAATACAACTTGCAGGGGGGAAATTGTTGGAAATGAATTCAAGAGGTCGCTTAGGCTCTCTCTATACTGACAACTTGAATAGTTAAATTATTCCTGGTTTTCTATGTAAAGTATATTCTTCCTTGGCACTTACTATTAATCAGCGCTCTGTTCCAAAAGACCACAAGTCTTGTTCTGGAGCCAGCTTCCAATATTTGCAGCTATTTTGTGATGTTTCCATCCTGAGAGCCTAGAAATGAATTTAAATTTATGGTTGTACTTTGCTCTGGATTTTCTTCATTTCTGTGTTTTGCTTGAATATTCCCTGTAAATGAAGAGAAATATCCTGATTTTTACATGCCATAACAGTCTCTTTAAAAGTCCTTTAAAAGGGAAAGCCCTTTCCTGATGTGTTTCCCCTCCCACCAATCTTGTAACAGAAGCCACAAGCATTTCCAAGATTTTTACTGTTCTCTTTCTATCTTTTCATCTCTATTTCAGTATGTGGCCTGCAGTGCTCATTCCTCCTTTCTGCTTGTTTTTCTCAGTGCTTGCCCAGAGTTTAATGCTGCTGTCTTTGCTGCACTTTGTAAATCTACTCATAATTTGACTAATGCTCCCTAGATTTTGGCCACGCATCTTACACTCTGGGTTTAAATCCTTCTTACCATCTACATATACTTTTATGTATCTTGTGTGAAAAGCCTGCTCTTTGGTAGCTATAAAGTTACAGAATTGCAAGGTTGGAAACGACCTGCAAGATCATCTAGTCCAACCACCCTCCCATTCCTATTAGTACCACAAGCTACTAAACCATATCTCGTAGCTCCAAGTTTTGCTTCTTCCCTTTGCTTACAACTTAACAACATCTTTTCGTGAGCTGACTGTGCTGTCTTTCCTTTTTATTTTGGAATTTGGTCTGAAGTCAGCTTAGGCCACTCAATGCTGTGCGTACAAGCAGCTCTGCTGCCTGTGTAACATTCAGTCGTGTCTCAGTGTTTCCTCATGTATTTTTCTAGTCCCCTTGCCCAGTTCCCCTGGTCGGCCTTAGTTCAGCTGACAGCAGAGTTTGTTAGGAACTGCATATCTGTTTGTAGCCTTTGCTGTATTTGTATATTGAGCAGATGTGGACTAGGATTTCAGTACAGTGAAACGGGGAAGAAAGCTGCAGTGGCTTCAGGGCCATGTGGCTATGGAAACTCTTCTTTATTGCTAAACTTAGAGCAGTGGCTCACAGTGACATTTACCTGCAGAATACATCCAAGGCTTTTCCTGGTAGGAAAATGCCTTAGAGCCTTTCTGAAAGGACGTCACAGCAGTTCAGGGGACATTATAGGGGGAACGCAGAAAGGGGTAAACAACAGACACAAGCCAGAAAAGAACCTGGGTCCTCCAGTCATCTCATGGCTCTAAGGTGAAGAAGAAGCTGGGAGAGCAGCACATCCATGTTATGTCTGCATTCCCATATGACACGTGAGGAACCAGTAACTGAAGCCAGTATCTCATGAAACTTTGTGTCTTCTCACAGTGTTAACTGCTAACAGATGTGCAGAGTTCAGGCCAGTTCTGTAGCTGGTGTACAGACTCACAAATCTGTCTGGTTTTATTGCCAGCTATAGGTCCTGTCTCATCACAGGCCCAGTCCCTGTTTTTGTCTAGTAGAATTTCTTTTATTGAAAGATATGTAGCTGCAGCACAATGTGATTTCTTGTGAACATCCACAAAGGATGCCATGCAGCCTCAGTAAGAGGCTGTACTCAAGTACAAAGGTGGATTTCTTGTGATGTTTTGGAATGAGCAGAAATGACTTCTATTTGGCTTCAGGATTGAAAATAAATGAAAGTTTAACTATTTTATTGGTGACCAAAGGACTGCTGCTGTGAAGTGAAACATTAACAGGGTGAGAGAGAGCCAGGACTGCTCGACAAGGTTCATCTTCAAGCACAGCATAGCTGCCTTCATCTGGTGCACCCAAAGCAGAAGAAATGGCAGAAGACAGTGAGCTGCAAACTGTGAAAGAAGCCCAAGCTGGTGAGAGAATTTCTTGAAATTCCTTTTGCTAAACTGAAGGCTAAAAGACACCAGGAAGGATGAGAAGTTTCTCTGACGTGTTTAGGCTGACTAGTGACCAGATAAAAGGCACTTAAAGACAAGCTAGGTATTTGATATTGTTAGTGTTGTTGGTTGACATACCTTTATAGGTTAGAGTCTATAAGGGCTAGTGAACAGGCTAGTAGAACAAGGAGGCAGGACTAAAGACCTCTGGCATCTTTTTTTTTGTTGTTGTTGATCAACATTTGTGTGTGTTTGTTTGTTTGTTTGTTTGTTTAAAATACTTTAGGATGAGTCTGGGGTGATTGGGAGCCAGTCTTGGTCTATCTAAAAAAAGTTAAGCTATGATCTTTTCTATAATGGAAGAATTGGAGAAAGGAAGCCAGAAGTGGTCTGGAGAGGTTATCTTGTCCACCTGAAGATAGACCAGGGCTTGAAGAGTTCCTGGCATGCTCGTAACTTTTTCTTAGGAAAAGAAACAGGAGAGAAACACAGAAATGGTGAGAATACTATAAAAGTATTACCAGTGTGTGTGAATTAAAAATAAGACTTGTTAGAAAGAGACCAGTGTGGCTGAGCTGAAAATCAAGGAATTGAACAGCAAGATGAATGCAGGTATAAATGAATGGATCAGTTGAGTATGAACAGATTAATGTGTACAGCACTGCAGCATAAAGCAGTGAGAATCTAAGAATTGAAAATGCAAAAGAAAAATGCAGATTGTTCTCCTGTGGATTTAGGGATCTGAAAAATTTAAATGATGAACTGAAAGTTGTAAAATAATGTATTCATGGAAACTTACAGCTATGCAAGGCACCTGATAGCTGAGTATTACATTTAAGCATGGGTCATCTTACAGGTTGTCCACTTGTAAGAATGACAACGGAGAAAAAAAGAAAATCTTACAGAAAGCAGTACTTGCTTTCATGCTTACCAGCTGAAGTTGTTTAAAAGAGGCTTTTCATGGAAATTCACAAGAGCAAACTTCAGAGTCCTTCAGATCTGTCTGCCTGCTTTGGGACAGGACCTGACATATTGAGCAAGTCCCTAATATGTTCTTAAATATCAGACATCAAGGATTGCCTGAACTCTGCAGCCTCAGCTGCACCACTTTTCTGCCAGTACTCCCTCGTCCTTGCAGAAGGGAAATTTGGCCAAAAGAGGCCCCAAATCTTCTCTACTGAAGTCAGTTATTTTTCTCATCTTATTGATGATGAAAGTGGAGAATAGTTGATCTCTGTGCCTTTTTCCCTTGGGGTAGCATTTGGCAGTCTTTCCTGAATTTCATCTTATTAATTCCAGAGGCACAAGATGGTTTCTTCCACATAGAAATTTTGAAT